TTCAATTCAGTACAGTATAATTTCAGATACATTAGCACAATACTGGGTTGCTAATTAAACTTCCTTTCTTTTCAGCAAAATTATTTAAGTGTTCCAGTATTTAATCCTTGGGGCATGGTTATTATAGAGGGTAACTTACATTGTACAAAACTACCAATACATATAATTTTGGAATATATTTTCTACTCAGGGAATATGTCAGGTTTCTTTATATCAATTTTTTTTCAAATTAACATAATTTGCCTACCATCTTCCCAATCTCTACCATTTCTATATACCAATGCAAGATACTTTCATGATTACTTTTCATCGTACCGAGGTACCACCTGTGCTATTATGTACTTAATATATTTTATTCAAATTGATTCACTTTTTAAGTGTTACTGTATTTCTTTAAAAAGGAAATCTTATGTCATCACTACAAAAGACAAAACAGCACCACCAGCCATGAATGGAAGGTAAGCGTAATGGGATCTAAACAAGGCTATGAAATCTTAACTGGATGCTGTTGTCTGCAGAAGGCTCTGAGCCTGAGACCTGTGGAGGTGTTAATGACCTACTAGCATCATATTAAAATGTTCTCCTTGATCTTATCAGAAGAATTGAAAAATAAATGGAAAAGGAGTGCCTTTCTTTTCACATAATTTCATCTCACGATGCCATGTTCTGGTATTACTTAACATAATCTCTGTTCTTAGTAAAGGTAAGAGTGCCACCCTTTGAAATACATTACCTTAGAGCAAGAACAGCCCTCTGCTCTTGTTCAAAGAAAGTGGGAAAATATATTCCAAATGCTTTGGAATCCCCAAAGCATTTCCCTTCTCCATCTCCATGCCTTCCTGAGGCTGCTGACCTAATGGCAGGATTTGAAGCACTTCTGCCTAAGTATCCCCATCGGTTTCCCATCAGAAGCAAAAACAACCTGTTGCAAATGGAGACCGTATTGTAAAATAAATACATCTCATGAAAACTTGATCATACATTCTCCTGGCTTTCTATGTTAAAAACGCAGGAGAGGAGGACAACAGAATTGAGAGGACATAGTCTGCTTGAAAATAACTCAACAGGTATCAAACAGATTGATCAAGTGAAGGATGAATATAGGCCACAATTTAGCTGAGAGTATAAGAGGCTGCCCCTCCTTCACCTCACACACCATTTTTTCCAACCACAAAGTATTAATATATTTAACTAATGAACACAGTGTTATTATATTATACAACTGATTCAATATGACCATGCTGAGCAGGGTCCTGGCTATAAGTGAAGAGATGGCACTCTTAAAGGAGGTGAAGGATGGGAAATGTCGATTCCATACATGAGGATTCCAAATAACATACTCTTAGACAAACTGGATTATGTTATGTATGCCTGAATTTTTGGCTATACTTGAGAAAAAAAAGACAACAGCCAAATTCCTTGTAGACATGCGCTATGGTACAATGTTAGGGTTCCAGTTATGGGGTGTAGTACTTGGTAGCAGCAACCATGGAATTTGAGTAATAAACAAAACACGCTCGAATGGAGTTTTGGTTTTAGAATATATAAATAAAGCATGGGCACCAGCTGGCTGTAAAAATAGTCAAAGACAAGATTTAGAAGATGAATAGGGCAGGAAAAGGGCTAAGCTTGTCAGAGGATGAAGTGGAGTTATTAGGACAAATTAAAGATAATCCCTGAAAGGAAAATTTCTAGAATAATCAAAATCAAGTAGCAGAGATGACAGCTGGAGATTAGTAATAGGAGAAAGTGTAAGTGGGAGGGGAGAGAGTGGAGAAAAGGAGAAGAAATAAAGCTTCAAAGAAAAGAGATGATGAAGAGGCTTCTGAGTAAGTTAAAACTAGGGAGGCAGGAAGAAAATGGAACTGCACAAACAGTCTGGTTCATCCTAACAGATAAAACTGGAGGCAAGCCAGGTGAAGTGGCCCATGCCTGAATCCCAGTACTTTGGGAGGCTGAGGCGGGAGCAGGTCACTTGAGCCCAACAGTTCGAGATGACCAGCCTGGGCAACATGGTAAAACTCTGTCTCCACAAAAATATACGAAAATTAGCTGGGTGTTGTGGTGTATGCCTGTAGTCCCAGCCACTCAGGAGAGTGAGGTGGGAGGATCACCTGAGTCCAGGTTGGCCAAGGCTGCAGTGAGTTGTGATCGCACCACTGTACTCCAGCCTGGGTGACAGAGTAAGACTCTGTCTCAAAAGACAAAACAAAACAAAACCCAAACCCCAAAACAGAACAAAACAAAACAACTTGGAGGCAGAGGAAAACTACTGGAAGTGAACTGTGACAAAGAAAAATGGTTAAAAAGAGTATTGAGTACAGACTTGTGGATTTAGAAGGAAAATAAGTAAAGGACATAGGAGAGTCTATATGTAAAGGATAGACAGGAAGACACATGAGTGTTGTACATTTCAAGCTTCCGGTATATCCCTTTGGGATACTATAGAAATGGAAAATACAGGGCACTTGTACTCCTTCCTCTCCCAGGGCAGATATTACAAGTTGACCTTGGCACTATTTTCCTCTGAGTATGGATTTGGCCTCGAATGCTTCTCAGTACAGCACTTTAGGTAGCTACCACTGATTGATTTGACTTGACCCTGGTCACGAAACCTGAATCCTTAAGGTATTACAAAACAAACAAATCAACAAACTTATTGACTGAAGAGGAATCAAAAATGTATACTTCTTGCTGGAAAAGCAAAATGTTTCAATGTGAGCTGTTTCTGTTTATAGACATCATAATCCACATGTGTAGTTATGAGTAAGTATGTGTATGAAACATGAATATTTCAAGCAGGTAGGCCCAAGCATTCTGTAATTATTTGTAATCTGAAATTCTGTTTTAACTATTTACAAGCACAGGAAAATCAACTCATCATTTACCCTGGTAACTGAAACCATTGCGTCTGATCAAATGTTACAAACTGTGTTTTGAATTATAATAGCTCATATGAAACAACAGTCTGTTAGAATAATCAGAACTTTCTCCTTCCTTCTCAATGTTATAACACCATATTGGGCCCAGCATCTTAAAAAGTAGGCAGAAATACCAAATAGGTTATTCTTCCCCCATATATCATACATTTTTAAAAAGCACAAATAAATAGTGCAGTATAACATAAGAGCATGGAAAATGATCAGACCATTTGAGGAATAACTAGGATTTCATCAATGGCAGTAAAAAAGAAACCACATTCATTGTCACTTGGAAACTCAATTGTAAAAAAAGGGAGGAAGGGTGGTGTGTGACAAGGTGCACTGGTTTCCATTTCCTCTTGTACACACTCATTAATTTCTCCCAGCTTCTGAGCATCTAAGGCTTTTGCCTATTCATGCAAAGAGCCACTTGAAGGCATACAATGCCCTCAGATTTTCTCTAGTCCAGGAAACACTCAGCGCTTTCTTTGAACTATTTTGTTTGAACATCCTGGTAAGTTATTCATGTTCTGCCAAACAGCTCATAATGCTCTCGGGGAGGAGAGGCAGTGAGCTACTGTTCAGGGTTTCTCTTTTGATGACTCTCTTATGAATTAACACCAACACAAAAAGATGCTCATTAGTCTAGATGGGCTTACTGAGATAGAAAAGGAAGGGAGAGAAAAGTAGTGGGTAGGGAGGGAAGGGAGCAATGATCTCTCAAGAATCTTTGAGGTCTGAGAGTCTATTGACCCTAATGAACGAACCCATTATTGCTCCTGTGGACCATTGAAACAGGACCCTAACTGACCTCCTGCACAACTCTGCCCACCCACTCCCCACCCACTGCAGCGAGAGTCATCTTTTCAAAATACATCTCCACTTCATGTTTTCTTTGCCAAGGCCTAACAACTTCCCCATGGTATGGCCCTGTCTGCCTCTCTGGCAGCTTATGGCACCCCTTATTCTCCAAACTCCAGCCCCACTGGCCACCTTTTAATTTCTCCTTGCCCAGGGCCTTTGCTAACCACAAGACCTTTGCACAAGCTGTTTACTCTGCCTAAAATGCTCTCCACCCATTCCCACTCCCATTGCTCAACTTTAATAATATTAGCTCAGATACCTCATATGTCCTAAGGAAGGCCTATTCTGCATCTGTTCTCACAAACTTTGATGGTTTAGGTCCCTCCCGCTATCTCCTCTCAAAGCGTCCTTTGTCAGCATTTATAACTATCTGTAATTATATATTTGTGCCATTACTTTTCTGATGGTCCCACGAAACTGTGAGCTGTGGAGGGCTACACCAGTGACTACTTTCCTTTCCACCATGCACTAATACCTTGTAAACACACATAGTAAGCATTTGACACAATTATATTGACCCAATGAATTAATGTATTATGTAACATACTACCTTGCTAATACATTCAGAACTATGACATATAGGAAAAAAATTAGACAAAAACCTAAATATCGTATGTTCTCACTAATAAGTGGGATCAAAGCTATAAGAATGCAAAGGCATAAGAATGATACAATGGACTTTGGGGACTCAGGGGGAAAGAGTGGGAAGGGGGTAAGGGATAACAGACTGCAAATTGGGTTCAGTGTATACGGCTCAGGTGATGACACCAAAATCTCCCAAATCACCACTGAAGAACTTACCAATATAACCAAATACCACCTATTCCCCAAAAATCTATGGAAATAAAAAAAAAAAACTTTAAGTCTTATACTGAAAACCAAATATTTAGAACATTTAATAAAGTAAACTTATATCAAACGTTCCTGCACATTATACTGATGAATGGAAATTGTGACTAATCTCTCGAGGGTGAATACTTAAAACCACCAGAAAGGAGACTGCTTCTTTAATTTTCTGTTCTCTGCTTTGAAGGAACTAGAATCTTTGCTATGGCTGCCAAATAAAAAGGTAGGCAAATCATCTTTTGAAAAATAATCAAGGTTTATGTCTTCTAGGATCCCCTGGGTAAACCAGATCTTTACCTCGGAGTTGGCCAAAATGGAACTAATGGCAGCAACCCTCTATAAGATGGACCCTGGAGAAACATAACTTACGTTGGTTTAGAAGCCTCGGCCTGATCAGTCTGTAGTTTCTCTCCTCCTTCCACCTCCATTGTACAGTATACGATGCGATTTGGAGCCAAAGATTTCAGGCCTTGGACTTCCATGATTACCACCTGAAAAGATAATTCCACATAATCGAGGTTATTGGCAAGGCCCCTGGCAGCATCACCCAGAGGAAAATACATAAATGGGAAGCTACAGAGAATACCAACAGGTATCTGATGGCTTCTATTAGGTTTGTACCAGTCATGCTGGGACCAGTCTAGCACGAAAATGCAATTCCTCATAGTGTAGCTGACTGCCTGCCAGACAGAAAGACAAGGCTCACTAATTCAAATGCTCACAGGGGTCAGACAGGCATATAAAATGGGCTACTCTTTCTGTGTTAAGCAAATAAGATCAGTTTTTCATTTCTATCAAGAAATAGGCTCTTCTTTTCTTTTTTTTCTTTTT